GAAAGAAACATGAAGAAGAGACCACACATGACCCACCACACCTAAAATCTGTAAACCTGTATTATCTGGCCCTTATAGAAAAGTTGTGCCCCCCCCCATACCCTGGATGTTACAAGATTTATTCCTGTAATTTATTGCAGTTTTACATGTTTTTAACACTTCTCAAAGTCCTAGAACCAAGAACAGTTTTACTCTGTCTTCCTCCTGCCCTTTGTGCTGCTGTCCTGTATTTTACTTGTTAAATTTATTTTATTTTTTCTTTCATTCATGAGAGAGAACGGGCCGCCTGTACGCCCCCTGGTCACGCCAGTCCCCTTCCCCAGCCTGCTAGCTCTCTGCTCTTGGGTGTGCTCACCTGGTGTATTTCAAGGCAGCCAGGGATCCAAACCCACAGCTGGACATTCGGCTTCCAAACACTGCAGTTTGGGACCAGCAGATGGCACAATGGTTCATCGTTGGACTCCCACGTAATCGACCATGGTTTGTGTCCCAGACCCGGCAGCTTCAAGCTCATGCTGGTCATGTGTGTGTGTGTGTGTGTGTGTGCGTGCGTGTGCCTAAGATCCCAAAAGGAGAATGAAGGAGTAGGGATTGCGGCATGGCCATCACCCCCCCTACGGTGATTTCTCGCTTTCTGTCTTTCTGGCTAGCACACACACACCCTATAGCAAAAATCTCTCAAAAAACAAAACTAAACTAAACACCGTGGTTTAATGTTCTGCCACCAGTACCACTGAGGCAGCGTATCCAGGTATTTTAAATTCCAAAGACTTTATCATTTTTAAAAATTTACTATGGGGAGCACGTGTTCGCTGGGGGGAGAGAGAGAGAGTGAAAAAGCACCCCCCATGGGGGATGGCCACACCACAATCCCTTCTCCTCCATTCTCCTCTCGGGATTTTAGACATGCACAGACATGCTCAGCATGGTTTTCAAGCCACCTGATCCAGGACTTGAACCACATGGTTGGTCGTGTGGCATCTAGCTGCTGTAACCACCACGCCACTGACTGGCCCTGTAATTACCTTCAAAGGTCAGTCCTCACGTTCATTTTCTCCCGCTCACCCCTCCTCCCCGCAGTCCCACGCCTCCGGGTGGGCTTACCTCCCTTCACCCTGAAAAGCTCCTCTTAGCATTTTGTGTTTATGATGAAGGTCTTTCAGTAACGGGTTCTTTCAGCTTTCTTTTGTCTGAAAGTATCTTTCTTTTCCTTTGGGTATAAAATTCTAGGTTTATAGTTTTTTTTTTTAAGAATTATTTTATTTTATTTTACTCATTGTCATTATTTATTTTATTTTTTGAAGTTGACCAGAGAGAGACAGAGAGAGCGTAGGACAGCGGAAAGCGAGAAAGCCAGCTGCCAGGTGTGGGACTCAAACCTCAGTCAACCATGTGGGAGTCCAGCCATCCTAACCACCATGCCATCTGCTGTCCCCTGTAGTTATTTTTCTTTTAGCACTTTTTAAAAAAAAACACTTGCCAGAGGGTACATATGCTCACCCGAGAGCTAGGAGAGGGCCCGATGGGGAGTGGTCGTGCCGCAGGGCCTGCTGCTCCGTTTTCACATCTGCCCCAATTCTGGACCTAACACAGTCATGGGTACCTGGCATTCTTCAGGCCACTGGGGCCAGGATTTGAACCACGCAGTTGGTCGTGTGGGATCTGGCGCCCTTCACGAGGCTAAGGCCACAGGGTCAGCCCTTCTTTTAAGACTGTCCGGGAATCACTCTACCCCTCTGGCTCTCACAGTCCCCACTACAGTCACACGGAGGGGTAACCACTCCTTTGAAGACGTGTCTTTTCTCTGGATTTTTTTTTTTTCCTTTCCTTTGGTTTATTTATTTATTTATTTGGTTTTTGCTATAAGGTACATGTGCTCACCACAGAGAGACAGTGAGAGGGAAAGTAAGAAATCCCTGGGGAAGGTGCCATGCCGCAGTCCCTTCTCCTCCACTCCCCTGCTTGCACACGCTCTGGCCTGATTCTCTACCCACCAGGTTTCTGGGAGGTCTTACATCGTCTCTGGTTTTTGTCCATTTGACTAGGATGGCTTTAATTATAGTTTTCTCTGTGTTAATCCTGTTTGAATTTCGCTGACTTTCATAAATGTATGGATTGCTGTTTGGATCAAATTTGGGAATGTGTCAGTCCTATTTCCCCTAATGTCATGGGCAAAGCACACCGTGCAGGAGTAACAGCACTCTGGGGTGCCGAAGTCACATGGGAAGGTCCTGGGTTCACGTCCCGCGGTCTCCCTGTACATGCCGGGAACGCACACGCATGCACGGTCCTGGCTGCTGAGTGGGGTTGGGTCACGGTGCGAAGACCGTGGGACCCTGTCTCTCTGTCTCTGTGTCTCTCTCTCGTATCTTACTCTCTTTCTCTTCTCTTGGGATTGCAGTTACTACCAGCCCTCTCAGTCACATCTCACAGGCGTCATATCCTGTTCTGTCTTCCCTACTCTGATCCCCCGTGCTTTGATGTATTTTCTCTTGACCTTTCTCCGAATTCACGAATTCTGTCTCGTGTTAGATCTATTATTGTACTGCGACATTTTAGAGCTTTCGTTTGATTCTGTTCCATAGATTCCAGTTCTCTTTTTTCCGTTTTGACCATCCTTCCCTCTTATTTCCCTTCACAACGCAATCAGAGTGGTTTTGACCTTCTGGTGTGCTGACTTCCGTACCCACGGTATTTCTGGATCTGTTTCTGGCAGTTTTCTCTCGTAGTCACTTTTTTGTGCGTCCCATTTCTAGAACTTTTTTTTTTTTTTAGAACTTTTTTTATTATACCAAAGAGACTATAGTGATGGGAGTCTTCAAAAAGTGCAAGGAATGGGACCAGCAGTTGGCGTAATGGCTATGTCGCTGGACTCCCACGTGGTCAACTGAGGTTCAAGTCCCGGACCCGGTGGCTTAAACTCATGCCGGGCGCATGTGTATGTGTGCCCAAGATCCTGAGAGGAGAATGGAGGAGAAGGGATTGTGGCGTGGCCATGCCCCTGGGGGGTGATTTCTCGCTTTCTCTCTCTCTGTCTCTCTCTGTCTTTCTGGTGAGCGCACACGCCCTATAGCAAAAACCTCTCCAAAAAAAAAGTTCAAGGAAAATGTATTTTATGAAAAAATAATGCATGAGCTTCAAAAAATGTTTTGTCCCAAAATAAACTCATATTTCAATTTTAATTATTGATTGATCGATTGCATTTTATTAATCCTCTCACGAAAGCTCTGCATAATCCCAGGAGGCAGTCTGCAGAATCTCCGAATCTGCATTCAGACCCCGACTCGTGATCAGCACCGACACTGGCCTGAGGTGCCCCGACCTCACCCTCCTCTTGGGCTCCTTTCATGCTTCCTTGAGATCTTTTTCTTCTCATCCAGGCCACATCTTGCAAGTCTGTGTTTGGGCTCATTTTTCTTTTCTTTTTTTTTTAAATTATTTCATTTAACTTTGTTTATTTACTTATTTTAATTTGACCAGAGAGAGAAAGGAAAGGGAGAAAGCAAGCCACCAGGTCTGGGATTCAAACCGCAGTTGGCCACGTGGGAGTCCAGCGCCCCTGACCACCATGCCGCCTGCCGACCCCGGGCTCGTTTTTGTCTGCATAATCCAAGGAATCGTAAATCATGCCAAAGCCAGTCGTCTCGCTGCCGCCAAGATGGGTCCTGAACCGAAACACAGAGCCGCGTCTGGGGCGGTGCTTGCATCTTGGCTGCTTTCCCCCCAGTTCCGTCTGAGGGTCTTTGCCCTCCCGGGCTGAGGGACGTCGGTGACCGTCTGTCTCCCTGAGGTAGTGGGTTGGTCCTGAACGTCCTGGTGCAGAGGGTCACCGTGTCACTCCTGATGTGACCAACCCACTTCCCCCGGGGTGCCAGCCAACCTCTGGAAGTGCTTCAGGTGCCATGGGGTGTCTGGAGTACCTCCTGTGCTCTGCTCAGATTCTGCCTCAGTGCCCCGCCGGGGCTGCTTTTGGGCTTAGTTACCACGGGCTCCTCGTTTGTCCTCACTCCTGCAGGGGGCCCTGACTCCTAGAGCTCAGAGAATTCCGCAGTCGCGCTGAACTCTCAGGTGTACACAAAGCCTTCTCTGCTTTGACTGGCCCTAAACTGGAACGTCCTTGCTTCTGTGCAGCCTCTGAAATCTGCTCGGGCCTCCAGCTCCCCAGAGCCTGTGTTCCGCAGGCTTCCTGGAGTCACACCACATGTGTGCACAGCTGTGAGCCAGCTGGGGAGGCCGTGGAGAGAGTTTGGCATAGACTTGGGGTGGGGCTTCCCCTCTCTAGAACCCATTCCAGATCCTTGGCTCCTGGTCACCCTCAGCTCCCGTCCCTGTCTCCTGCACTTAGGCTGCTGCTGTGTGCTTGTTCTTTTTCTCAGCTACTGGCTTGACAAAGTGTCCTCAGGGAGAAAGCCAGGGCGAATGTGGGCCCCTTCTTTCACTTTTTGCAGCCAGCCCTGAGCTGGTCATTGCCGTATGCTGGCAAATGGTCGTTTATATGTTTGCAGCTGTTCGTTGCTTTTGGTGGGAGAAGACGCCCAGGAGGCCCACCGTGTAGAACTAATAGGGAAGCAGTGGACCAGCTGGTGGTGTGGAAGTTAAGGCAGCTGGATCCCACGTGACCAACTGCGCATTTCAAGTCCTAGACCCGGCAGCTTGAAAATGACGCTGGGCACTTATGCGTGCATGCCCAAAGTCCCAGCAGGAGATTGGAGAAGGAATTGCAGCATGGCCATCCCTCTGCGGGGGGAATCTCACTTCCCCTCTCATTTCTCTTCGTCTCTAGCGAGCACATATGCCCTATAGCAGAACCAATAATAATAATAATAATAATAATAGAGCATGTGTAGGTGGAACTCGTTTGCGCCATGACTGTTGAAAGCTGTGTACTCAGTAGGGAGCCGTGGAAGGAATGCATTAGCTGGCCAAGTTGGAAGACTGAGGGCACTGAGGAGGAATGTATGCTAACACCTGCCTTCGTGTGTGTCTTTCTAATCTCTCAGTACCTCCCTGCACTTGGTTACTCGAAACGGGTACATCTGATGAACCCCATGGTGCCAGGATTAACGGGCGGCAAAATGAGCTCTTCAGAAGAGGTGAGTTGCCAACTGTGGCTTGAATCTAAAATTGTCAGCAAGGGGGGTGGCACCGTGGCCCAAGGTTGAGTACTGTGCGTGGGAGAGCAGGATCCTTAGAGATTCTGATACAGGAGCTCTGTGAAGACCTCGGGAATCCGTAGTCTATATTTTCTCTCACATCCTACCAGGGGATTCTGATTTAAGTTACTTTGGGGCACTCATGTAGTTCTTTAAGCCTTTCTCAGATTCCGATAAAAGATTGGTCAGTGTGTGTATGCTGTTATTTTTTTTTAATTTGCTAGAGGGTCTGTGTCCTTGTCTAAGAGAGAGAGAGAGAGAGAGAGAGGAGTGAGAAAGCATCCCCAGAAGGGACGATCGCCGCCTACTCCCTTCTCCATTTCTCCCTCCTTTGAGGATTTTGGGCATACACCCTCGCCCGGCATGTTTGTCAATCTCGAGGTTTGAGGCCCCAGGCAGTCGGCTGTGTTGGATCCGATCCCCTTGACCTCCGTGCCCCGGCTGGCCCTGTTACTGTGACTTTTAAGGGACATACTAGTTCCTTACTCTTCTTGCATTACGGTGCTCCTGTGTTAGTTACTCCTCTGACAAAGCATCATTTCACAGTCCTCCTTGGTGGCGTGTGCCGTACCTGGACCCTGGAAATCAGACCCAGCAACAGCTCCCAAACCTGGCAACACATTAGAATCACTTGGAGAGCTTTTTGAAAATACAAACTCTTGACCGACCTCAAGAGATTTGGAACAGACCCCACGTGATCCTGTATGTGGGTAGAACTCAGTAACCCCTGAACGCAAATGGCCAGGAACTTCCTCACTTCAAAATAACAAACAAAAACGCCTCCGGGTGGTGTGTCCTTCCTGGCCTTGGTACTCTCTGCTGCCGTGAGACGTGAGACGAGTATCCTCACGTGTTGCCAGGGCCGATGTTAACTACTACGCCTTTCAGAAAACAGTTGCTTTCGTGTTGGATAGTCGGCATCCTGCGGTCCTCCAGCGCCAGCCTCCTGGTCAGCTAGGACTGCAGGTGTGCGCCTATCGCCCGGCCTCTGAAGGTCGGGCTGGGAACAGAAAACAGTGTCAAGTGTAGTGATTTCAGGTATCTCAACTAAATCATCTAGAGAAAGCACAAAATCTCTGCAAAGACAAGGGATGACCGTGTGGCAGTCCTCCCCAGATGTAGTGGTTAAGGCACTGGACTCCCACATGGCCGACTGCAGTTTGAGTCCCAGACCTGGAGCCCTGAAACTCACACCAGACACAAGTGCATGTGTGTGCATGCCCCAAATCCCAGGAGGAGAACGGAGAAGGGATTGCGGCGTGACCATCCCCCCTGGGGAGTGATTTCTCACTTTCTGTCTCTCTGTCTTTCTGGCAAGTACACGCGCCCTGTAGCAAAAACCTCCCCCCCCAAAAAAAAATTTAATTTGTTAGGCGGCAGTGTTACAAGTGGCAATCCTGATTAATTCTGCATTTGTTAACTTTGTTTCAAGTTAAACTCTTTGTAAAGGGTCAGTTAGTGGTACATGATTGCAGTGGCTGGATCTCACATGGCCAACTGCATGGTTCAAGTCCCAGACCCAGTGCTTGAAAAACACGCCAGATGTGTGTACATGTCTGCTCAAAATCCCTAGAGGAGACTAGAGGAGAGGAATTGCACCGTGGCCATCTCCTCTGTGGGTGCTCTCTCACTTTACCCCTCTCTGTGTCTCTCTCCAGCAAGCGCGCACCCTGTAGCACATTTTTTGGGGGGGAGAGGTTTCTGCTATAGGGCGCGTGCACTCACCAAAAAGACAGAGAGAGCCAGAGAGACAGAAAGCGAGAAATCACCCCCCAGGGAGGATGGCCACGCCGCAGTCCCTTCTCCTCCATTCTCCTCTAGGGATCTTGGGCACGCACAAACACACACCAGCATGTTTAAGCCACCGGGTCCATAACTTGAACCACAGTCGTCAACATGGGAGTCCAGCGACATAGCCATTACACCAACTGCTGGTCCCCCTGTAGCAACTTTATAAAAAATAACAAGACCCTGGCATTTGATAGAAAGTGGTCAGATATAGAGGATCTATTGCTGAGTGAAGTAAGCCAGGCTATGAAAGAAAGATATTGTATGTATCCACTCAATATATACCGACTA